GAGAGAGAGAGAGAGAGAGAGAGAGAGAGAGAGAGAGAGAGAGAGAGTGTGTGTGTGTGTGTGTGTGTGTGTAGGTAGGCTCAATGTGAGCTTGGTGTAGACTTGAATGTGACCAATTGAACACGACCACCACATAGGCAAAAGGGGTGGACATACGTTCGCAACAAACGCGAGCATGTCCTTCTCCTTCATCTTGGGGCAGCGACACGTGGCGTTGATGGTGACAAAGGGTCGAGAAAGGGCTGGGCACTGCGGGAGAGAGTTTTTGCAGCCTTTGTCGCACTTGAACGGAAACGCCGTGTCCGGCTCCAACCCTTTACCTGTATGTCCACGACACGGGTTATGTTACAGCGCCAGCAAGCAGGCCGTCAGGTGTGGTGCCAGCACAAAGGCGAAGCATGAATGCGACAATGTGTTGCAGCACACATACACACACACACACACACACACCTGCTTCATTAACACTCAGAGATGCACAAGTGAATGACACGCACACAGGCACAAAGCCACAGACAGACAGCCAGACACATAAGACACACGCACACACCTACCTTGCTCGCTCTTGTCCAGGACATATGTAAAAGCGCCTGAGATGGAGCCGCCATGGCATCCATTTGCTTGTGTGTCGCATGACAGGATCTGCAGCATGGTTGAGCGGAGCGGAGCGGAGCCATTACGAGCATGCGGAGAAAGCATGTCACTCTCATTCCATGCACGTTCGCAGACACAGACAGACAGACAGAGAGACACGGCACACAGCAGGCCGTGTTGCGTCACTTGCCTGCTGCACAGAGAGTTTTGGTTCAGGCAAAGTGTGTCCACTGAGCACCCAGCTTGCTTCTACCGTCTCCACAGCAGAGAATGCCCTGCCAACATGAGCAAGAGCAGGCGGCACGCACATCAGGATGAGCGTGCGTTGTTGCGAGCAGCTTTGATGGCAATGTCATGCATCATGTGGCTGAGTCGACGTGATTCCTGCACGCAGGTGCACCCATCCGTCCACTCATCCGTTCATACATCTATCCATCCACTCACCAGCAGCCGCCGCACTACACAACAAAGGAAGAGAAGTAGTGGTGTGAGAGGAGCCGTGATGGACAGGCATGCAGCGGGAATTAAGAAGCGATTCGCATGGCATACAGAGGCGAAGAAGCAAGGGCCGCGCACCTGTCCTTGGTCACGCACGGCTGTGATGACACCGCGCGAGTCGTTCCGCCTGAAATGCGGGGTGCGTGCGTGCATGGTGTGCATGCGCAAGTTGGTGAGTTGGGGCGGGAGGGGAAGGGAGAGGAAGGGAGTGTGCAGCGAACCATGTTACACACAGACAGACAGACAGACACACACAGACACAGAGAGACAGACGCGCGCGCTCAGACACAGACACACGCACACACAGACACACACAGACAGAGAGAAAGAGGCACAGACAGACAGACAGACAGACACAGACACAGACACAGACACAGACACAGACACAGACACAGACACACACAGACACACACAGACACACACAGACAGACACACAACACACACACACACAGACAGACAGACAGACACACACACACACACACACACACCAGTCGAATGCGTCTGGGATGGCCAGGCCGAGCGCGGCATTTGTGTTCATGTTCGTGCTCAGTTCACAGTTGACCGGGCTGCTGGCGCATCTGGGGTTGCCGATAGCCGTGGATACGGGTCGGGTGCCAAGCAAGGCGCGGAACTCCTCCACGGTCCAATCCGAGAACTTGTCTGGCTTGAAGACGGCAGTGTGGCCAGCGGAGACGGTGGCAGCGCTGGCACTGCGTTGCTGATACAGCTGCACGTTGCGTGCAAACACGCGACGTCGAAACGCGTGCTCCGTGGCATTGCTTGCATACAAGCGACCAAAGTCCTTGACAAACGACGTGAACAGGGCATCCAGCTGCGCCTCACTCAGCCGCCACTCTCCGCTGTCCTCTCGTCCTCCATCTCGTCCTCCTTTGGCGCTGCTGCCCGCAGCCATGCAGGCGCACAGCAGCGCCACCACAACCACAACCAATCGTGGTGGTTGCTGAGTCATTGTCATCGTCATCGCCGTGTTTTTGTTTGTTTGTGTGTTTGGCAAGTGCGTCTGTCCTGCATCATCACGTCGACGCTCCTCCCATCTCGCGTCTCACCTGCTGGTTCCAGCATCCCCACTGACAGCCCGACCATCTTGTGTGCTGTGTGCGTGTATGTGTGAACAGCCGGGAGGACAACGAGCAGCAGGGACCTCAGCAACAGCAGCAGGAAGGGGAGCAATCAATCATAAGTTCCGCATATGGAGGGGAGAGAGAGAACCGGAACACGCGCACAAGAGCACCATCTACATCAACAGCAAGCAAAAGCAACATGCATACAAGCAACATGCATACAGCAACGAGAGGAGGAAAGGAAGGGCACTTTGGGGGGGGGGGAGGGGATGGAATGACTGATACAAACAGCAAGCAAGCAAGTCAACAAGAGCACTTGGACAAGAAGCAAACATGACTTGCCAACAAACAACGAATTTGTCTTCTTCTCTCACTGTTACACACCACACACACACACACACATACATACACACATCAGCCAGAAAACGTAGCAGTGCATCAAACGAAACAACACAAGAAAGTGAAAGGTCACATGCGTGCCCGTGCAGCTGGGTGTGGACAAGAGAGGTCAAGCTCACAGGCTGCAGCGACGTGTGTGCGTGGTGGTTGGTGTGGGGTGAGGAAAGCGAGAGATGTGTATGAGTCCATGTATGCAGGCAGACATACATAAAGACAAACAGACAGGTAGGCAGACGGACAGAAAGTCACGTGCACACACACACACACACACACACACACACACACACACACACACACACACACGTACTACGACGATCAACTTTACAGCGGTAGATGATTCTGCGGCCACCCACCCGCTATCTTTTGGACCCCTGTCTCCAGTATACGCCGAGCTGCGACTCGAAAACTCTTTGTTGCCTGTTAAGGCAGGATAATAACTCAGCGGAATCTCAGCAAAGCGACGCCCCGGCTGTAACAAACTCCCTGGTATCAATCCCTTTATGTTGCATCCGTTAGCGCCCGCCGTGTGGGGCACATGAGAGATCACGGGTTAAAGTTCCCATGACGTTTCTCGGGGTACCTAGTCATAGACGATGCCGAATACCGTAGTCTGCCGGGCGACTGCG